AGGACCTTGCCCCTCGCACGCCGTGTCCAAGCAGGCTCCTGCCATAAACCCTCCCACGGCTCTCTGTTACTACCTTCTCTTCTCAGAGAGGTGCCGGCGTGCCCACCTTACAAGACCACTGCTTACGCAGGTACGGGGCCCGGTTGTTACAGCCTTGTTCTTTTTCGTTTATTTTTCTTTTTTTCCCTGACGGGTACTAGGTTAAGAAGCATTTTCTTCAGTATTTTCGTGCCATGGTGCCCAAATTATTGCAGAACTGAGTTGCAAAGTTACTTCGTAACTAGGTCTAAATATAGTTATTTTTGAATTCAGGTAAGGCATAGAGCGTGACGTTTGAAGGAAAATCTTTGAGGAGACTTGGACTGTTGTGCAGCCCTGTACCAAGACAGCTCTCCTGGAGAGCGTGTGCGTTAGAACCACCCAGGTCTCCTGAAGCCTTTTTGATGGACCACCAGCAAAAACATTACGCCCTTTTGTTGCAGATCTCGGCTAGGTTATGTAACCAGCAAGACCTCCAAGAATCCTGTGTGAGTGAAGCATCTTGAATGTACTGGGAGACAGGGGAGTTCAAAATCCGAGCTATAAGCAACAGGGAATAGTGCTGGTCCACAAAGTCTGAGCTTTGCAGCAGAACGTGTGTTTGTCTTTGCTGATACCCAAGTCGAGTATCGCAGCAGATACGAAGTATTGCCAAGCACCTCCCAGGTGTGGGTTTTTTCTTCCATGTAGGCTAGGAACAGTTGTAAGAGTTTACCAAAATAAACGAAGTCAGTTTGCATCCTGTGAATCTTGCTGTCGGATGCTGTGCCCGCGGGGATGCTGTGCCTGCAGGGTCCGGCAAGGCGGTCTGGAGGGCATCGAACCACTGACCAGCAGAGAACTGCTGGAGCGCTGGTAATGGTTTCACGAGTAATGGGATTCATTCAACCTCCAGTTGTTGGAAGACATCACCAGTCTTAAAGATAATATGCATGAGCTTGGGTAATGCCTTGGATAGAGCTCTGGTTTAAATGGCACCCACTGCTACAAGGACCTGCACAGCCAGACTACAAGCTCCTGTTAGCACACAGGGGTTAAAGGTTTTGCTGGGTTTGAGTTCAGAGTGCGGGAGTTCATGCAAAGTGTTGCCCTCAGCAGCAGCTGGCTATCTTTACCAATTTAAAAGGCAGCTCATCCAACCAGTTC